GATATATGAAATGATTGAAGAAATTTTGATTAGATAAATATATAAAAATGAAGTGGATGTCTAGTGACTAGTGTTAAAATGAATGAATTTAAAGAGAAATAATATTGGAATGTATTGTGGATAAATTTTTATTAAGTAGAGATTAAAATTAAATTTTTAACAGATTTTAATAAAAAATGATGAAATATGTGATTAAAAAATTGTGAATCTCGTAAAAACATAAAAATGCATAGTACAATTTAATTGTTAAATTTGACTTTCATGAAAATCTAAATTTTTAATTTCTATGAAATAGGGATAGTGAGATGGATACACAACAGTGATTGAGGTAAATAGCTGGTTAATTTTAAGAAATCGAAGAAATCGAACCTCCCTTTCATCGTTTCCTTCTGTTTATTCTTGTTTTTCTCTTCTTCCAAGAAAATACTATGAATAATCTTGGAGTTTTGGGGCAGCAGAAGCGATTTTCTGTGCTTGACCTCCATGTCCCTTCTCACTCCAAGCTCATGCCAGTGGCGGCGCCACTGCCATTGTCTCGCCCTCACTTCAATTCCCTTTCTTGTAAAATTGAATTTCTCATGTCTTCTAAATTGTTCATAGAACCCAACTCTGCATCTCTCGCTCACACCGAGCGTCAGCGTCGTTTAATATGCAAAACGAACAGAAACTCAGGTAACCTTTTCTCTTTTTCTCTGTGTTTAATTATGTATACTTACGGATGGAAAATTTGTTAAGAAAATGTTCTTTTACTTTTCTTATTCTTGTATCGGAATTTTCACAAACATTTGGTGTGCAATTCTGTTTCCTCAGCTGACATTACCATTTTGTTTTCGAATTGTACATTTGGAGTTGGAAATATTGAATTCCTGTTTAATTTTTAGCTTAAAACTCGAGTAGTTCTGAACTTCCAAGGATCAATTAATTGTTTAATATTAGATTCTTTGCCGGCGTATGCTTGTTTTATCGAATTGCTGGAATTTATTTCTCTCTCCTTTAATCATGAATGCTTTCTTGGAAGAACTATGTTCAAAATATTAATGCCATTTGATGATCCCTTTACTCAGACATTGTATCAGAGCTCGAGCTCGGGAAGCAAAAAGAGAAACAGAAGCCAGAGAAGCGTGTCAATGGCATATTCTGGATTCTACTTATCAATCTTGGAGTATATGTGGCAGATCATGTGTTTCAGGTTGTAAATAATTTCTGTCTTCTCTAAAGTCTTTCTTCATATTTATTTATTATCTTTGATGTTGTAAGATTTTTTTTCTCGTGTTTTTATTTGCGGAAGTAGCAATCTTCGGAGGTTTCACCCCAGGTAAATCAAGATATTATAGATCCTAAAAGAAAATTCAGTAATACCTGATGAAGTTTTTGCCTTATGGAGATGCAATTGTAGTAGTTACCTGACTTTAAATAATAAATTGATGTACTTAAAGCTATTTGATATGATTCTTGATACTTCGTGATTACCAGACTAGTAAAGCTAATATAAAAAGACTTTGTTCGTTTCCAGGTTCGGTGGATAAAAGGCTTGTACTTGTACCATAGCCAACCTGCTTGGCACCAGTTCATAACCTCAACATTCTGTCATTTTAATTGGTGAGATATAGAGCTGTTTCTACTTCTGAAGAGCTTCCAAATTGAAGTAGGAATACTGACAAAAAAAGAATGATGCATATATTTGCCCTCTCTATGATCTCATTTTATAGAGTTTTTCCTCCACATCTCTTGCAGGAGTCATCTATCAAGCAATCTCTTTTTCTTGTATATTTTTGGTGAGACCTTTTTCACCCCTTTCTCCAAAAAATTCTCATATGTGGATGCTATGCAAGTAGGGATGTAAATTTAATGTTGTTTTTCATCCAGGAAAACTCGTTGAAGAGGAAGAAGGAGCCTTTGCGCTATGTCTTTCCTATATCTTGACAGGTGCTGGGGCTAACCTCGTTTCATGGTTAATTCTCCCAAGAAATGCAGTTTCTATTGGAGCATCCGGTGCTGTATTTGGACTCTTTGCAATTAGCGTCCTTGTGAAGGTATAGTCAGGCTCTATGATTTGTTGACATTAGCAAGTGGCAGTTCCTATATCAGTATTAACTAGTCTACTTTATATGCAGATGTCGTGGGATTGGAGAAAGATCCTTGAAGTACTTATATTGGGACAATTTGTGGTAGAGAAGGTACTATATTCAATATTAATGAGTTGATCAATAATTCATCTCTTTGGTGACTTCTATTAAGTTCTACTTAAACCAGAACTTTCTCAAGATTTTCTTTTCCTGTATTAAGATCAGAATTACTATACATAAGTGGGTTAGGAATGAATTTGTGAGTTGTTGGTGATACTTGTAAGTTGTTCCACAACATGAATGAATTTGTGCAAGTGAGAGGTTTATAACTGAGTGTTTTGCTGGAACTTTCGCCCGGATTTCGATAAGTTGATGCTTGCTTGGCATTTCAGGTAATGGAAGCAGCCCAAGCTTCAACAAGCTTAGCAAGCGGTTACAGAGGAGTCTATGGTGTACAAAACGTGAATCATATAGCACATCTCTCAGGTGCCCTTGTCGGTGTAGTTTTGATATGGCTCCTTAGCAGGGTTCCTTCTCCACCGGTGCACGGAAAATGAGATTCACCCAACATTTTTGGTACTAAATTCTTGAAGGTTGCTAAAACATCTTGGGGCAGCTAAAGGGCTATCACTATCTTTCTTATAGTGACAAATCTTGTGTATTCTTAAGAAAATGAATTTGTCCATTTATAAAGGTTTTATAAGGCGTGAAACACATACGAACTCTTGAATGAAAATGGAAAAAAGATGTGATCTCTTAGGAATCCATAGTCAATTTTATTTCCTAGTCGGCAGTTAATTTCTTTAACCATTATTTTCGTATTCTCGTTAGAGTGAAAAGAAGGCATGGCTCCAAGTTGGTGAAGAATACTGGTGTTAAGTTTCTCAACCCTTTGACTTAATATTAGTAGTTCAATTTCTCGTTAGGTACTGGAATGGATATAACTCAAAAGTAAAATGTCACCTTGACATGATGGAAGCCATCGGTTTGAATATTTTTATTTTTATATTTTTGTGGGATGGAGGGTAAATGAAATGCACTTTTCATGTATTATACAGTAGGCATTCTGTAGCTGCACGAAGGATTTAAACAAAGGTAAGACTTGTTTAGTTCGCAGTTAGGAGGGATTGAACAACAGTAGATAAAATTATAACTTTTCAACTTATTTTTTCTTCAGTATCGTTGAGTTCATCTTATCAAACATGTCATTGACGAGAGATTAAGGGATGGAATCCCAATTTTCTTTCTATGTACAACAGTTAGTCATTTTAGTTCCAACATTGTCTTCATACCAACTTCTCAAGTGAAATAGTGGCTACTTCTCTTGATGTTTCTGCATGCCCTTGAGTTCAAGGAAAAGTACTGTACATAAGTGTGCAATCTAAGTAGACATGTAGAGCTGCCCGTAAAGTTGCCTCCGGCAAACAATCGGAGCTCGATCCTGAAGCTTACAAGTCAGATTCATCGTTTTAGTAGCAGAACACAAGCTCTCAGCTGAGAACTCAGCTTCTTCTAACACCATTTGACTTCTTTTCATAGGAGATGGCTTATGTCTTCCGAACATGATTGTGTATGTTACCAGAGATGGCTTATGTCTTCCTTCAATCAAATTATTAAAAAGGAATTGGGCTTCCTGAGGCTTCCCTCTTCCTAAGAGAATGTTCGTCAGTTTGGTTCTTGATCAAACCGTTCTACAACTATTCTTGCTCATGCAGAAAGTACAGAGAGTAGACTCCGGCATTGGATACAATTAAATCTTTTCATCACAAGACGTTTCCTTCTATAAGAACAGGTCATCACCATTTTATCAATGTGAGGTTGAATCAAATTGTTCCTAAGCGGCAAGTAAGCAAACAAGAATTTGTCAAATAAATAGTTCAATACCTTTAACGGCAATTCTTGAACCCACTCTTTCTTGATTACTGCAGTGTCTATCCCAGAATATAAACCCTCTTCGTTGAACTCCCCCTTATAGCCCTTTGTCTTACCTTTAGGATGTCGCCCACTTGAATGTTTCGTCATCAATTAGCTTCACAAAATGCAAGAAAAATTGAGAACTCTAGTCTGGTACCATGGAAATCGCACAAAGAGTTGCTTATTTGGAATGTCAAAATAAGTTACTTCCTTATTTCCAAATTTCAGCAGTAACAAAAGTCAATTCTTTTAAAACTTACTTATTTACTAAGTAACCCTTTTAAACTTAGACAAACATGCTCCAATTGAGAAGATCAGAAGTCATTAGAGCAAGTGATATAGTTGAAAGCTGATAGACAAACATCATAATCCAATTTTCTTTCTTCCACTTGGGTATGACTTATGAGATTAAGACTATTAAATGAGAGTCGAGCATTTGCATCCCACTTTTGCTTTCGCTTCACTTAGTCAAAAGTTATCTTCGACTAAAACCATGAAAGCAAAATACGAAAAAGAACCACATCGGATCATACATAAATTTGTGAGCAAGTGTAAATGCCTATTAACACGTACATTCTAGTAAGCATATGCCAGCATTTGGTTATATTCAAGTGCAAATATATACGAAAACATCGTGAAGTAAGACTAATAATTATACAACTTCATTACTAGCTCCTGTCGAGCTTAAATCCAGGAAAACAAAAAATACTCTTAAGGGCTAGCCGAGCCTACACGACATTATAAAATTTCACCTAGTTGGATTCGCTTTCAACATAGTCCTTGCAAAATTGTCATCGAGCAAGTTATTTATCAGAGAAAATAATTGCAAAAAACCATTCTTAAACATGTTCTGAATCAGAATTTTAACAGGAACCCACCATACAAAACAATGAAAGCACACACTTTGATCAAACAAACCCATTTTCTCAATAATTCAAAAAACAAGAAACCCATCAAGAAATTGGACTAATTCCCAAATCAATGGAAAACTTATTATATCAAGAAATGAGTCCCCAGTGAGAACATCATCCCATCAATTTAAACACAAAAAATCGAGGAAACTCAAAATTAACTATGGGAAAATGTTGCAAGTTTCTTGAGAAAATACAGTTTGTGTTCTGGTACCTGTCTGTCTCTACGTCCGTCTCTACACATTCAGAGAGACGGAGAGAAAAGAGGCAGTTTTTTTCCTTTTTATCTGCTGTTAGAATAATTCTATTACGTGGGCTTTCATTTGATTACGAATTTTACGAATTAGATATATGGTTTGCAATGAAACTGTGATTGGGTCCTATATAATGGTTAGGTCTCCTCTTCTTTCTATATCGTTTTGACTTCTCCCATTGACTGCTGATTATTTTGAGGAGCAAGGAGATGAAAAAGTAGCTGATAATATTCATGTATTCGGCAGGTATAAATTTTGAACGATCAATTAATAATGTGATTCTTATTCTTAGCATGATTATTGAATTATTACAATAATTGATATCAGAACTACACGTTAAGATTAGAATCCTTTAAACAAAATTAATTTATGAAATTGTGACGGTCTCACCCTCATAACATAGTCAAAGACTTAGCCCCTCCAAAGCATATACCCCACGATTGTGCATAATAATGGTCAACAACTAATTGCAAAGCTTCTCTCCTTGCTCAGCCGACTCACGCATATGTGTATAATTGTATTTCCTTTGATTTTTGTATATCCAAATTTCTGTGGAAAATATAATATATATCTATCATCGTCTAAACGTATAAGTTTAGTATTTATCTTAGAAAATAGCCGTTCCATTATTATGTAGATTAGGTGTTTGTAAAAATGCTTCACCGTGTTATTCATTCCTTTTCTCTTTCTCTAGTTGCAACTTGCAAGTGAAGTATTTTGAAGCTTTAGCCGTATCATTAAAATGTGGAATTTGGCATTTGACTTGGATGCACATGTAAGGAAAAAAAATTGAAAATTGATTCGGGGTCTTACTGCATGCCAGGCCAGCTTTTTTAGCTGCAGTTGCCCAGAAAACAGCTAGAGATGTCACTTTTAAGCATGACCAAATATCTGCTTATTAGTGTTCTTCTAGAATAACGCTTAACAACCAAATGATTATTACTTGTAGGGGTGTTCAAAAGTCCTGAACCGAATCGAGCGGTTCTTC